CAAACATGTAGAAAAAATAATTCTGACTCTTTATGGGCAGCCTATATAGCATACTGTGATGAGTAGATATTCCGAAAGAATTAACCTGGGGGAAAAGCTTTATAATATCTGTAGGCTCCTTTAATCGTGACTATTTTGAGACCATTTACACTTATACAGTGCCCACAAAACTTACTATCAGTTATTTTCTTTTTAATTACCCTTCAGCAGGAAACTATATTTCCCATATCATCTAACAGACCTGAAAATCTCCCACTGTGTTTTAAAAATATATTAGTGGTCATTCCTGACAACTGTCCTGTTTAAAGAAAGAATTTTTTAAATATTTCTACTCAAAAAAGAGTTCTAGTTCCAGGAAACAAACAAGCATACATTACAGCAAATGAACAAGATTTTTTAGAAAAACTTTCTGTTTTTGGCATAAAGCCAATTAACAATGCTGTGATAGTTTCAAGTGCACAACTAACGGACTCAGCCATACACATACACGTATCCATTCTCCCCCAAACTCCCCTTCCATCCACGCAGCCACAGAGTTCCCTGTGCTGTAGAGTGGGCCCTTCTTGGTTTTCCATTTCAAATACAGCGGAGTGCACATGTTGATCCCAAACTCTCTGACTGTCCCTCTCGCTTACCATTACTAGTGGTAACCATAAGTTCATTTTCTAAGCCTGTGAGTCTGTTTTGTAAATATATTCACTTGTATAACATCCTTTATATGTGGCATCTAAAAAGAAATGATATAAATGTTTAATACTTTGATAGAAAAGCAGACTTTAAAGCAAGCTAATGTGTGGATTGAAACAACAAATACTTTTAGAAAACCAATACTTTGATGATTCTCAATAATGACTATAGTATGTGCCAGATGTCTTATCATTTTAGATGTAGCAAAACAGCTTATACAAGTTCATCAAATGATTTATCAATTATTTACTAATTAATATGACACCAAGATGATTGCTGCTGCTGCTGCTAAGTCCCTTCAGTTGTGTCCGACTGTGCAAACCCATAGAAGGCAGCCCACCAGGCTCCTCTGTCCCTGGGATTCTCTAGGCAAGAATATTGGAGTGGGTTGCCATTTCCTTCTCCTATCAAGATGATTAAAAGGCATTAACTCATGTAACACAGAACAACCAGTTAGACTTACAATGAAACAGCTATAAAAAGTGTTGTTTGTCGTTTCCTCCCATGTCATTCAACCTTTCCAAGACTCATTTTACTCATCTGTAAACAGGAATAGTAACAGGAACTGTCTCAAAGAGGTATTGGGAGGATTAAGTGATGAATGTAAAGTCCTTATCACAGACTCTAGCATATAGTAAGTGCCCGATAAATGTCAGTTATTATAATTATTATCCTTGTTTTCTTATCTCTAGGCACTGTGTTAGACAAAAGCAATTCATGATAGTTTTATAAAACTAATATATCATTCAACTCCTAACACTTATTTAATATTGCAGCATATGTTAATATAATAGGTTTATTTAAGTTTTGAAATTCTTTCTCTCTTCCTTTTCTTTAGCTTCATATATGCATTACTTCCTCAAACTACATGTTATATTGACTTCATTCTATCCATCTATTGGGAAACTTTAAGATCGAAAGTCCTCATCTATCTTTGGATTTAATATAATAGTCAGAAATTTGGAGTCAATAAGTGTAAGTACAAAGATTACTTTTTTAAACAATTAAACAATTTAAGTAAATTAAAATTAAACTATAGGGAGACCTGAAAGTTGTTGAAAGCCATAGGGTACAGAAATATTTTTGAAATCCTAACTCTCGACTCTTACATCTTGATGTGACAACAAAGCCATTTGTGAAGGCTCTTCTTGTTAATTAGTTTGTGGAGTGGTAAGTGAATTATTTAGTAAATGACTATCAACAATCAAATATTTCCTCATGGAAATAGAATGATAAATAATTTTCCTTGGGTCTTAATAATAGTCATAAGTGCATTCATTCAATAAATTTTTATTGAATTCCTTCTGTGAGTAAGGCATTGTCCAATATGACAGGGAAATAAAACAGGGAATTTCTTTGAAATTAAAAAAAAAGAGAATATTATTATCTAATCTGATGAGCTGAAAGCTTTACTGGAGAGAAAGAAATAAAAAGAGACCATAACATAAAGTTATGAATAAAGGGAGGTGAACACACAGAAGATGGAACAAATAATTATTCATGTGAAGTGAAGTCACTCAGTCGTGTCCGACTCTTTGTGAGTCCATGGACTGTAGCTCACCAGGCTTTTCCATCCATGGGGTTTTCCAGGCAAGAACACTGGAGTGGGCTGCCATTTCCTTCTCCAGGGCATCTTCCCCACATAGGGATCGAACCCAGGTCTCCTGCGTTGAAGGCAGACGCTTTACCCTCTGAGCCACCAGGGAAGTCCCAATTATTCATGAGAGGGATTTTAAAAGATTCTTAAAGGCTCACTTGCTGGGACCTAAGGGGGAACTGTAAGAAAAGGGAAGATGAGAAATAGGCGTGGGGCCTTTAAGGAAGAAATCACACGTCTCCTGTGTGACAAGCACTTGGGGAAAAGTGGTCAATTCAACCATGCTTGAGACACAGTGGCTCACAGGGTACCCAGTGGACGGAGTGGGAAGAGGTTAGAGTTCGAATCCAGAAAGAGTGTGTGTGTGTGTGTGTGTGTGTGTGTGTGTGTGTGTGTGTGTGTGTGTGTGTGTGTGTGTGTGTGTGTGTGTGTGTGTGTATGGAGGGGGCAAATAAGTTCACTTTTGGCCAGAACTTGTTTGATATGTGGCTCCCAGGCCGCGGTGTTCAAGGGACATCTGGATCTGGAGGTTAAGAAAGGACTCGCGTGAAAGATAAAGGACTGGGGAGCCAGTGTCGGAGAGATGGCAGCTGAGGAGAAGCGTGTGTACAGGTCTCCCAGGACAGCAGCAGAGTCAAAAGAAGTCCAAGGGAAGACCCCCAAGGCACGCCCACATTCAAGCCGTGAGCCGCGGGAGAGGATCCAGCAGAGAAGCAGCAATTAGGACAGAACGAGACAGGAGGAATCTGGAAGACAACGTGGAGGAGACATTTTAGGAAGTGTGGATGGCTGTTGTTTCCTCCGTCAGTAGCCGCGGGTGAGGCTTCTCTCTCAAGAGGCAGGGCTGCCAGCAAGGAGTGAATTCACCACAGTTCCCCACTCTTTCACAATCTCCAGGAGAAGTGCTAGAAGACAGAGAAGGGTCCCATGATAGAGACGGCAGTGGAGAGGAAGAAAGACGGAACAAGACGCTTAGATAACTCATGAATGAGTCATCAGCCCATAAACAGGAGACAGCCAGCAACATGAGCGGCCCTCCTGAAATAAAGGAGCAAAATGAGCTCTCAATTAAAAAGAAAACAGTCCAGTCTCCCTGAGAATTGAGGCGGCGTAGTAATTTAGACAATGGCTTTTGAATCGCCGCGTGCACACTGCTTGGGATAACTCAGTGAGTATTTGCTGGCGGATGAACCAGAGAAAGACACCGTCTCCACAGGGCTTCAGTTTCCTCCTGTGACCGCTCGGGAATAGCCATTTGGGCGTCACAAGTATCCTACGTGGCAGGACTATTTTTGGCGCACTTTATAGATGAGTTAGCCAAGATGTAGAGAGTTAGGAAATTGGCTCAGACAGGTGACATGCAGCAAAGTTAAGTTTCAGATTTGGGGCTCTCTGTCCACAAAGCTCATGCTTTGCTTCCCATGGGGACTCTTAGAACTTTCAAAGTACTTAAATCTGCTTCATTCCCTCCCCACCCACCCCCGCCTCCATAAATGTAAGGCTATGAGGGAAGCTGGAGAAGTGTTGTTACCTCCACAACAGGTAGAGAAACTGAGGATCTGCCTGTCAGTATACGGAACCCAGGTCTTCGAACTCTATTTTATGGCGTTTTAAAGATCAGTAAATGTATTACATTAACAAAAATTAACTTTGCGACCAAAATTAACATCTTGGAAGAAACTATTGCTATTCTTAAAACTGTATTGAATATCTTTCTAGAAGTTATAGCACTGTGAATTATAGCAAATGAATCATCTGAGATTCTGTCTTAAGAAGTAGAGATGGCAGTTTAAGTATAGCCCTCTAAAAAGTAGCAGCTTTTCTTCCATCATCTTACTAGTTAATCTTCCTGGGAACAGGCTGATATTTACTCATCCCAAGAGAGTGTTGAATTGTCTGGACTCCAAAAGATACCAAGGATAAGGTTTTAAGTTCCTCACCATTAGTCATCACATGGAGTAAAGTGACAGAGCTCTTTACAGAGGCATTGCTTTTTCTTTGCTCTTAAAATGGCAGCTGAAACAAAATTCAATGGGTTTAAATGAGGAAAAGTCAGCAAAGAATGCCCTCCCTTCCTTAAAAGTGATCTGTTCCCTGGGTAAGATGTGAAATACTCTGCAGTCTCTAGACGACAGGATCAGATAGGCTAACAATGCATTTGAGAGCTTTGCAAAGAAAATGTTAGACAAAATAGATCAGGTTAAAGTGGACACAGACGCCCAACAGCAAATTCTAATTATTTTCATTCCCAGTCTTGGAACAGAGACAGTTGCAAAAAAAAACAACATAGATTGCGTGTTTACGTGTGTGCAGTGAAGGCATTTCCCCCTCATTTATTATTGATGTTCAAAATTTCTGCATAATATAATACATAGGCAGCCTAAATAGTTAAATAATAAAAAGTTAATCCATCCTTACAACCAGAAAAAGGCACATTTCCAGCATAGATTTTTTTGAGGCCGTGCCCAGGTTATTCTGGAAAACTGATGTAGATAAGAACAAAGTCTTCTGAGTTAAGAAATTCTGGATTCTAATTCCAGCACTTCCATTTCTAGTCATCTAGATCTTAGACAAGTTAACTTTTCTGAGCTTCAGTTTTCTTTCAAGGTCTATAAAACAGAGGAAAAAAGTACTAACTTTTAGGGTTCTTATGAGGATTAAATGTAATAAGGGATGTAAAGTCTCCAGAATCATTTGTTCCCATTTTCCTCTACAGATTCCTTCTTCCTCCCTGAAAGCCTACAACAAAATAGGAAACAGTTGCTGATGTTGGTAAGTAAGCCATGAACTCAATTCCAAGGCAGAAGGTTTAAATAACCAAGAAAACTTCAGGAATTGTTGATGCAGTTATCTTCCAGATGAGAAATGCTCATAGTCATGTGGAACATGCTGTACACTTGCTTGAAGGTCCCTGGCCAAAATTCCCATCTTGAATAGCAGTGGTTGGCTACCCAAACTACCCTCTAAATGCAGCTATATTTCAGCAGTTGTCAAAAAACTAACATGTACCGAAAACTGCAAAAAGCTGCCTTTTCCTCCTTAAATTCTCAATCATATCCATTTGCACAAAAATGCCCCCGATGTATGAGTTTTGCCTTTCATGAGAAACAAGACTTGAAACTCAGGTCCACTATGAAGTAGGGGCTGAGGATTCAGGAAGAATCCTGTGCCTTTTGAAGTTAATTACCAGTTTCATCCTCTAGCTGATCTTGGATTGTTGAGCTCAGATCAAGCTGTTCCCTCCCTGAATTTGTCTCACACCTAGAAAAGACCCAGGCTGCAAGAGACATGCCTCTCTGTGCTCCTTTCCTGTACAAAGAGGGAAGGAAGCTACGTGGCTCATGAAATCATGAGTCATTTGTGTAGTAAAGTGAATTGGCCACTCATGTTTGTACAAAGTTGAAACGGGGATGGGCTGAGAATGGGGCAATTTCAACATAGAAATAAATGCTCTCAGAAGAATCTATGCTGCTTGAGATGCTGGGGACTGCTGGGTTCACAGTGACGAGGTCCCCATTATGGCCATCCTCCTAAGTCACAAAGCTTTATGGAGGCCTGATGACCTCGCTGACACCAGCAGATGACACATAACATTACTGGTCACAGAGTCCTCTCCCTTCCATTTCCTGTTATTCTTACTTCCTTACTGCTTTGTTTCATGTGTTCTAAGGTCTGACGACCACCTCCATTAGCTGCTCTGAATGAGACACTGGGCCATGATTCCCCTGATGAATACACATTATTATCTCTTCTTTGGGGATGAGGACTTCCAAGGGAGAAAATGTCCAGTGGCTTGCTCAGTGTGGTGCAGAGGGGAGGAGGCCAACCATGCCCGTGAGCAGCTGCCCACTGAACCATGCTGCCACCTGGACTCCTGCCCCTCTTGCCCTTCTGCCTCCACACCTGCAGCTGAACACAGATGCACCCTGCCCTGTCCCCCACCACTGCCTCGGCTCCTGCCTGCCAGCCCCTCTCCGTAACTCACTTCCTCCCACCCTGGGACTTTTTATCCTCATCATCAAATGACATTTCCGAGTCCAGAAATTGAAAGAGTTATGACTGAGGACCACAGAAGAAATGAGAATGACTTTCTGGTTTTGAGCTTGAGGTCACAAGGGATCCCAAATATAGTTCAGAAAATTATAACAATAGGAAATTTGAAGGGGGAGATAGGTACTGCACACTTTGAGGCAGAGTTATGGACTCAATTTTCTAAAAAATTATTTAACATCTTGGCAGATCTATGTGTCCCCAGCCAACAGGAACTCCACACACAGCGTCTACACAAGTTTTTCAGTGAGAGCTGAATCCCTTTTAGGCCTGTCTCCTAGACCAAAAGAAGATGATGGAACACTGGAAGCTGGAAGAAGAGTCCCACCGCTACCTGGAGTGAAGAATGGGGAGATTCTAACCTACTCTTCAACATAGACCCTGCACTCATACTTGGCCCTCTTTTCAGTCGATGTCTTGGCTTTTCTGTCCTGAAGTCTATGAGCTCCCAGGAAGAGGAGGCTACTGCCTTCTCCCGTTTTAATGCCTCTGTCCCAGCCCATCCAAGTTATACCTTCTCCATGCAGACTTCCCCAATCCTTCCCCCCAAATTTTACTCTCCCTTCTCAACTGCCACAGCTTTCACTGCCAGTATCATTAAGTTTAGAGCGTGACAGACAGAGAAGGGCAAATATCATATGATATTGTGTGCATGCGGAATCTTAAGAAAAGATACAAAGGAACTTATATACAAAATGCAAATAGACCCAAGACACAGAAAACAAGCTGATGGTTACCAAAGGAGAAAGGGGAGGGGAGGGATAAATCAGGAGTTTGGGATTTAACATACACACACCACTCTACCTAAAATAGATAAACAACAAAGACCGTCTACTGAATAGCACAGGGCACTGTACTCAGTAACTTGTAAAAACCTATTAGGGAAAAGAATCTGAAAAAAAGAAAACCAGACTATATGTATTATATAGAATTGAATCACTTTGCTGTATGCCTTAAACTAACACAACATCGTGAATCAAGATACTGCAATAAAAAAATAAAAAAATTTTAAAAAGGTTAGAGCTTTGTTATCTAGCTCTTTTAGATATGTCAGTCCCTGGTATTGTATTTGTCTTATACCACCATCCCTCCTCCAAAGTGCCCAGACCAGTGGCATATTCCAGGTGACATTGAACAAAAGCCTATTGATCACCCATATGTGTCACATGGGCTTCTCAGGTGGCTCAGTGGTAAAGAATCCACCTACCAAGCAGGAAACGCAGGGTATGTCCCTGGGTTGAGAAGATCCCCTGCAGGAGGCAATGGCAACCCACTCCACTATTCTTGCCTAGAGAATCCCATGGACGGAGGAGCCTGGCGGGCTACATACAGTCCATGGGGTCGCAAACAGTCAGACCCGACTGAGTAACTGGGCATGCGCACATAAGTCATATATCATGCTCCGTTCCGAGAATAAAAGGTAGAAAAAGACACAGTCCCTGGCCTTCAGAAGTGTGGCGCCCACTGAGTTAGGAAAGCAAAGAAGCCACTATCAGGAATCCATGTTAAGTGCTTTCTCATAGAGGGTGTGAATGCAGGCTGGAGGCGAGTGGAAAGGAGACTGGGAGACAGTGGAGGGGAGACTGGGAACAGAGGTCAGAGGGTGCTTTTTGAATTAAGTTTTGAAGGCTAAGCGGAGCTTCACCAGGGAGACAAAGGGCAGAGGGGAAACCCACCAGGGGCAGAAGGACACGCAAAAGCAAACAGGCAGAAAGTGGCTAAGGCGTGGGGTGTTCAGAGAATTTGCGAGAATGACTGGAGACTGGGGAATATGACAGCAAGGCTGCAGGACGTGTGGAAATAAGGTCCAGACATTCTACTTAAAAGGATGTATGAATGCATTCAACATAATCACTTTACTTGGTTCTTAGCACATTTTACTGCTGCTCATATTAAAGTATAACAAGAATTTGCTCAGCTGTTTTATAACTTGTCAGTGTATACCTCTGTGTCATTAAAATGTTTCTCTTGATTCTGGGAAATTTATTGGAGGACGGTGAGAATGCTTACACCTATGCATTTACTAAAAAAACATCTTATACAAGTGTAAATGCATGTCCATCTTAAAACACACACACACACACACACACACACACACACACATCATAAGACTAGGTAACTGTCACCTGAAGGTGCTAATGGTACACAATTCACATAGCAGTAAATATACTGTTCCCATTCAGGCCATGGGAGGTAGATATGCTTTCAGATTCATCAGTTTAAAGCTGACGCTTCATACAAAGAACACGAGTCACTGACAGTGTATTCGAGCATCTTCCCTCATTGCCATATCTGTGCTTTTGTTTTTATGGCTTCCCTTCTATTTTATAGACTCAACCTTTAGGTCCTCCTCTCTTTTTGAAGGTAAGATGACAAGTCACAGATAATGGCAGGAGTGGGTTAAGGCAAATAATGGCTGGCAACTTTCCAGGTGATTACATAGCTGAGAACATGTCACCCTAAAGGAGGTTATCTTTGATAACCATAGCCTGCTTCAGATACGTTACAAACATTAGATTTTACTATGTAGCCACTCTGTTAATTTATGCATCGTTTTCTTGACTGTTCATTTTTAGCAGTATTAACCCAGTGTATTTCAGCACTTCCTTGGTAAGCCTTCCATAGGAAGATTAGAACAATTTTAGTCACTATAAACTATCTAGGCTTAGCAGATGCCGGTAATCTACGGGATTGTGACCTGAAAGGATTTCTGTCCAAATGTGATTTCAAGTGTCTCCCTTTTCAAGACTCCATTTCACATTCTCTCAAATGCTTTACATTCTCTCAAAGTACATTATTTCTCTGCAGAATCCTCTTTTTTGTTTAATAATTACTGGCAAGGTAGATATTAAATTGGTAAATATATTTGCTTTCTGCTTTGGTGGTGTTTGTATTAATTTTGAGTCATTTTGAAAAATGCACTAGAAAAAATTTGGAGTGTGCCTTTAAATTTTTCCACAATGGTGTCAGTGACAGGAGGCAGCTGCAGCATTGACTTGAACTTGGTTTAAAGGCTGATATTTGACTCCAACTCTAAAAACACTCATCATTCTTACAATTCAATCTGAAGGCACATGCCTCCTCAATGAACCCCTCTTAATCATCATCTTTAATGGGGGCTTTCCTTGGAAATCCAGTTTTCAGTCTGCCTTTTCTTGTACTCAGGGTACAAGGCATGAAATGTATTTTTATCTTGATACAGAACAACTGACTTACTTGGGTCAACCCCAACTATTACCTCAAGATCAGAATTTCTTGAATGAAAATATAAGGTATCAAAACACAAACATTTTACACTGGTTCCACAAAACTATCTTGTGATGTAACTCCTTTCCTGCTCCATTGATTTCATGTGAAAATGGAATACACTTCATAGGACAGTGAAGCCCTAGTGATCATTTTTCCTTTCTTTTTTAGTTGATTTGATGTTTTCAAACAAGGAAGTTCTTGGGACAGTGAAGCCCTAGTGATCATTTTTCCTTTCTTTTTTAGTTGATTTGATGTTTTCAAGCAAGGGAGTTTTTACACAGGTCAAAGAAATTCAAATCTCAGAATTTTCCCTCTAATTCTTATCTTGCTATGGTTGACAGACAAAATGCAGGGGCCCAATGAAATGTGAATTTCAGATAAACAACAAATAGCTTTTTTTAGTATAAGCATCTTCCAGTCAATATTTGGGACTACTTGTACTAAAAAGATCATTGGTTTATCTGAAATTCAAATTTAACTGAGCCTCTTGTATTTTTATTGGCTAAATCTGGCAACCCTATATCTGAGGGCAGTTGAATTATGATCAGAATTACATTATCTCTGGATTGCAGGTCTACTGAATTCCCAAGGGGCCATTCTTTTCATGAGTATGTGCAAAAGCAGAGACTGTTGCACTGGCCATTCCCCAGGGTCCCATGGAGCCATCTGGCTCGGGGTCTAATGGATCTAGAAGACACTGGAGATTAACCAATCCCTAAAAAGCTACAAGGCAACAAAAATAATGCCCTTCATAGAGTGGGCGCTCCATGTATTTTTGTTGAAATCTTTCATGTTCATTAGTGCCAGTCAAGAGGAATAAGATGATAAAATATGACATCTTAAAAACAGTTTCTACATAACCCTCACCTCGAAATCTAAGCACATCTGATTCTTCAGGAACCAGATATAAATGCTACGTTGTTTAAGAAGCCTCCCCCTATCACCTCACCGCATCTCCCGCCCCATCTTGCCAGCATTTACCATTCACCCCATTCATTTGACATTCGACATAATCTGCTTACTATTCGAACTGACCTTCCATTTATAAATTCCCTGGGGGGAAATCTGTAGGCAGTGGTCGCACAGCGCTGTGATTTAGCACGAGATCCCTAGAGTCAGACCAACTTTGGTTTCAAATGGTGCTCTTCCCTTCTTAGCTCTATAACCCTGGACAAACACATCTCTAAGGTCTCAACTGATTATCTTCATCTCTCAGTAAATTATAGTGTTGAGTTCAGTAAGATGACATATAAGTAGTGTCAACTCTTAGAGAGCACTGACCCATGGTAGGTAATCACAGTCAGCATCATCGTCATAGTATTATCATTATCTTCTTTGAATCTACACTCCCCAAAGTGTCCATTGCTCATCAGAACCTACAAGAATTGACTGAAGAATCGACGCCTGAGACTCCAGGCAGAGACTCCAAATTCCCAGTCACCCAGAGAGAGAAAAGCACTGCCTGGGGACGGATAAATGAGCCTCATTCACTCTACAAGGTAAAGATTTCATTTTCTTATTTCTCTGTTCCTCTTCACTCCTCTAAACCTACACATTTATACCACTGCATTGTGCATGTGACAAGCAGGAAAACTAACTGCCTTAGAGACTTGTTTCCTTACTGGCACCATCATGGGGAGCCCCCTGGGACTCTGGTCACTGCACACTTCCTGCCTGACTCTTTATTGACTATTTGCTGCCTCTTTATTTTTCTCTCAGTCATCAGTGAGGAAGTTGCATAATTTAAAAGCTAAGTGGGACTCACTTTCTTGCAATCCAAAGTCATGCATGCTATTTTTTTTTTCCTCCCAACTGTAACTCCTTTGTAAATGCTGTGGAAAATGTTCTCCTAAATACAAAATGATTTTGTTTTTTTGCATCCTGGAGTATGCATGAGATTGGATTTTTGATACTTGATTTCCAGTTTTACTAGAATCACTAGAGCAACTGGGGATATATATGTTCAAAAGCAAAATGCAAGTTGCAAGTATGTCCTCTGATTTCTCTAGTGGCTTTTTCCAAAAATCACATTCAAAATCCTTTATGTGAAAACAAAACTGTTCGGGGGCATCCATTCATGAGCATAACATTTGCAAAACTGCAATATCAAGGAGGCTTCTGCTGTGCCAAATTCATTTTTTTTTTTTTTTTGCATTGGGACCCAGTGTCTTTCTCATACCAGGTATTCAAGGAACATTTATTGAGCCAACCAAAGAACAAGTATTCTTTCAAGAAATATTTATTGAGCACTTAGGAGATATATTGCCCTCAAATCTGTTTGCAGTATAGAGTTATTATCACTAAGGTCATTAAGAAATAATGATTTCGCCACAACATTGTTTATAATGCCGCCATCCACCAAGCCAGTAACATCAACTCTGGGAGTCTGGGTGATACAGTTTTTAGCTTCTGATTGTTTAGACTTAATGACAATTGACCTCATCATTGCGATTGTTACCCACAGAGAACAACATGTTCCCAAGTCCCCACCAATCTTGTTTCTATTGATTAATAAAGTCATACCAAGCCCATCAAGACTCAGAGGCAGTCTGAAGCCTTTCCTTCTCTAGTGGTCGTGTTGGTTTTGTGAGCAAAGTGCCCCTCCTGCAACCTTCAGTGGGACCTGTCTGTTCTGTGTCCCCTGTCATTTTGGGAGCAGTTCAACACTGCAGGGGCCAGGCTGACCCCGAGGTTAGAGACCCCACCTCTAAAACGATTACTCTGGGAAAAGCGGGAAATATTGTTTCAATTATAAGGCGAACACACGGACAGCCATGAACCACTTAAGAAGTTGCATGGTAGTTGACTTTAACCACAAAACCAAAATCACTATTTAGCAGTTCGCTTCTGCACAGTATAGGGAAGATGGAGCGGCAGCTCAGTCAAGCTAGCCATTTCTTTATTTATTTTGACTGTTCTCCGGTCCTGATTTTGCTATTAAAGATTTCCAAAGCCTCAGTGTACTTCAGCATTAATAGAAAACAGCTCAATGTGCCCTGTTTGCAGATGCAAATAGAGAGCAAGGTGAATACACTTAGGAGCAGGTCCCTTGTACACATGGAGTGAGTGGAGTTTCCAGAGCAGCTCTTCATGTGTCTCCATTCCCCACTGGTTTTCATTCCCCCTTTCCGATACAACACTCCCTCGTGTTTCACCTCATTTCCTCCCTGTTTCCGTCTCTACTTTGTCACCTATTCACTGAGACCCTTGTAATCTTTCATTTTCTCCGGGTAGGATCTGGCGGCTTTATTAAAACCAGACTATTTCACAAGGGGAAAAAGTTCACAGGTAAAGTCTTCATGCCGGCAGCCTCTATCCCCCACGGCCCCCACCCACCCACCCACCCACTCACTCCCCCCCCCACAAGCCATCCAGCTGTTGCAAACCAAAGGATGCTGAATCGCTTACAGGTGATGCTAGGGATCAGTCCCAGCCTTGCAGCCTGAGCCTTGTGCTTTGGAGAGCCACAGGGGATCAAAAACACACACAAAAGAAATGTACTAGCAGACAGGTGGTCACTTGGAATTTGACACTCGGGGCTGCCCAAAGCCACTAGTCACCGTAAACATCCACTCATACTGAGGAGCAGTGTTCCGGCTCCAGGGGCGTGCTTCTCTGGATCTCCTGCTTTGCATCTTGGAAGCCCAAGGTGGCTTCCTTCTGAGGGTGGGAAGGGCCCTTCCAGCTTCTGATGCTGCCGAGGTCAGGGGACACTTTGGACGGTGGGGAGATTTGGGCAGTGAAAGCACTTAGGTATGAAAAAGACAAATTAATTAACTTGTCAAGTCTTTCCTCTTGGCATGAATGCAAAAGGATAATGAGAGACCATTTCCCAGTAATGCTGACCTTCCACTTTGCTGCTTCGTTTGTGTTCTGATTCTTGGTTCCAGCAGTACCTCCTATTAGCAGGATATTCCCCACAGATGCACATGTGGCAGAAGAATATCTTATAATATTAAACAAGTCTTATTTTTCTTGAAGTTAAACGAAGGGCTAGAAGTGACCTGTTTGATAGTCTTTGGCAATTAGCTTAACACCAATCATTAGAATTGTTCATAGCTTTATCTTTATAAAAGTATTTAATAAGATTTAAATTTCCCCCAAATAAAATTTTCATTTAAACCATTTTAATTTAAAATCTACATTCATTCATTATACTCCAAATTTTACCTTTTGTTTTACTGAAAAGTGAAGATTTTAGAGGAAAAATAACTTTTGAGAACACGCAAAAATTTTACTTTGTCAGGTTTATGTTTAAGCTACACTTGTGATGAAACTTGTGTCCACCTTGAATAAAATTACATTTTACTTTTAATACTTTAGAATTTAAAGTTTAGATCATGACAGTCAGTAGAAAAAAGCTGCATAAAAATCTCTTCTATGACAACAAGATTAGGATTTGGCATAATGAAGGCAATAAATGAATGTTATAGATTAATAAATACTTTGTTAATTGTGAATAACTTAGTTTTCTTATCATGGAAACATCGCCAATCCAAGAACAGAATATCCAGATGTGCACAACAATAACTAAATCCAGTCATTAGATATTTTGTTGACTCTCAGTCATACAAGAACCCTAGCTTTCCATATATTTTTTCACTTTGTCACTATAAACGTACACGTCAAAGTAGGAAGACAGAATATCTAACTGTTTGTTAGCCCGATTTATAATTTTTTAATATTTAGACATATGGTATGTAGGCCACCATTTGTCTTGCCTTGAGCTCCGCAAATGTAAGTGGCCAGGTCTTCTCAATATTTTCTTTCTGAAGCTATTCTCAATAGTACTGGTCTTTTGAACCATCTCTTTATGGTCACTGGTGTAGGTGCAATAGGACTGGATTTTTCTCCCCAGGAACTTAATTAATGTATGTTCTCAATAGGTAATTGTCTTATAGATAGAGACAAAAGAGAAAAAGACAAGGATACTAAGTTCTTTGGTCTCATATTCAGTTTACTAAAGTATTTTTTGACAGTCTATGTGTACTCTTCAGTATACTTCCATATTTTATGTATAATGTAGGGAAGAGTTATGTACGCATGTTAGAAACATGGTTCTGTGAAGTCAGACAATCCTGGATTTGCACTGTAACTCTGCCAATCACTTGCAGAGAAATTTATTTCAACTATTTAAGCCTTAATGTCTCGATCAGTAAAACAGTGATGGAAATACACTCATAAGGTTGCACTGAAGACTAGAGATAGTATACACAAAGTACTTAGCAGATAGCAAACATAAAATAAATAGTTATTATAATTCCCACATGTTTTAATTCTTAAAGTATTAGTATGTTCATTCATTTAATAATCCTCCTGTTCAAAATCTTTGGGCAGGTACCAGGGTGAATGGGGTTGGGATGTGGGCAAAATGGATGAAGGAGGTCAACTTTATGGTGATGGTTGGTAACTAGACTTGTAATCGTGATCACTTTGTAGTGTATAAAGATGCCAAACATACTGCTGTACACAGTGCTCGTGGTAAAGAACCTGCCTGCCTATGCAGGAGATGTAAGAGACGCGGGTTTGATCCTTAGGTCAGGAAGATTCCCTTGGAGGAGGGCATGGCAACCCATTCCAGTATTCTTGCCTGGAGAATCCCAAGGACACAGGAGCCTGGCAGGATACAGTCCACAGGATCGCAAAGAATTGGACACAACTGAAATGACTTAGCATGCACACATGCACACCTGAAACTTACATGATTTTAAAAAACCCCAAGCCCAATCAAACAACATTTTCATAGCTTTCCACTGCCCAGAGTATTCCTTCTCATGGCATTTGAGTGCTCTAATTTGTCCTTCCATCCTTAAATTCCAGCCTTCCTCTCACCCCATTACAACTCCCCCAGGAGATCTATTCCTTCCTGCCTCTATGTTTTTACTACCATGATTCCATCTATTTGGATGGCCCTTCATCTTCCAAGGGTCAGTTCAAGTGGCACTGCTTGCAAGAAGTTTTCCCATTTTCCAATTTCAATTAAATTTCTTCTCTTTGTGTTCCTATAGCACTATCTCTGTAGCTCTATTAGAAAACTCAATTGAGTGAGCTTGGTATTATATCAAGTTTTGGGTATGCATCTATCATCTCTGCCCCAGTATCCACTTCTTCAGGTTAGATTATGTCTTTTTACCTCTGTATCCATGCCTATTCTCTTCCCAGTGCATGTAAGTAACACAGTACTTGGTACAAAGTAGGTGCTCTTAATTTTTCAAAATATGAATTTATTGACATCGACTTCAGAGAAATAGAATACAATAGAATGAAAAAAATAAAAATAAAGATTACTGTTCAGATTCTTCAAGTACTGGTTATTCTTGGTCTCATGGTTATGAGTTTTCTTGTTGTTTGCTTTTTAAATGGCATGACTTATACTTCAAAACAGTTTGCTGATTTCCAGGAAAAGCACTTTGTCTAAAAGCACTTCTTATTGACAAAGAGAACATTGTGATGTACTGTACCACTTAAAAAACATGTAATTTATGTTAATATATTGGAAAGATTTCAATATTTGGATATCTCAGTGGTTTCCAATGTCCACAAATTCTTTGATATTCCTCCCTTCCAAGGCAGGACCTAAATGTAGGTCTCCCTAAATGTAGGTTTGACTTAGTGACTTACTTTTCTCTTCTAAGAAATAGAATAAAGTGGCAGTGATAGTATGTGACTTGGGAAAGTAGATCATAAAGATGATCTCTCATGGATCACTCCCTCCGGGGGAAGCCAGCTGCCATGTCGTGAGGACAATCTAGCTGTTCTATGGAAAGGCCCACATGGTAGGGTCTCCTGCCAACAGCCGCACAAGTGGGCTTAGATCCTCCAGCCCTATTCGAGCTTTCAGATGGCTGCAGACCCAGCAGCTGGCCTGGCTGCAACCTTATAAGAGACCCCCAGGCAGAACCACGCAGCTAAGTTGCTCGCAGAAACTGTGAGATAATAAACGTCAGTTGCTTCAAGGTGCTAAATTTCATGAAAACTCATATTCATGATAGATAACTGATACAGATAGTATAGAAATATTACGTGCATGCTCACTGTAGATATTCACAGTTTAACATCTATGGTCATTAATTTCTGGAAGTGGTGAAAAAATTCGCAGCAGTTACCTAAAGTCATGATCTGGAACCCACTTTGTACTACCTGCAGTGCATTCGGTCAACGAATTACATTATAAATACGTATGGAAGTGTCTGCTATCAGGCAGTCACTATTCTAAGTCTTGGAAACACAAAGACAAATCAGGTAAGGTGCATGTTTTTAAAGGCTCTAAATTCCAGTGTTCTCCACCAACTTACCCACCACAAATAATAAGAGGAGTCCCACCTACTTGAATGGAAAATTATTTAAGAATTATTTTGTGTAACAGAGAAAGAATACAGGTGGAATTCAAGAAAAGGCTCTGGACCAATTATGATTTTAGCAGGTAGGGCCCCACACAATGCCAGGCCTGACAAACAGCTTCAGGCTTTTAAATCAAGGACAGTTGTCTCAGGGTGTGTGACAAATGGAAGTTTGATAAATGGTCTGTCTATCACACAGAAGAACAATCACTGTCAATAATGCCATCCTCAGGGACGAAGGACAGTGACATCAATGGCAGGGAAAATATTCCATTAGGAAAGCAGTCCCTAATTAATACTAATCTGTTCCCTGGAAAAGCTGCTTTAGTGGAAAGATTCCCCACCCCCCACCCCTGCCCCACCCTATGCCAAACTGCTGAGCATTAATTTGGAAAATTTCCCATTTACTTTCAAGAAATATTAAAAAGCTTCACTTAGCAAAAATTAAAAATGAATCTATTTCTTAGCTCACATAATATATAAAGATGAGATTTTTTTTTTTTACAGGCAGTGTCAACTCCTAATTGAGCCTATCAGTTAAAAGTAACCACGTTCTATTATTCTCTGAATTGACATTTACTATCCCTTCTTCCTCTTTACCATAAAAATGCATGTATTAAGTACCCACCTGCATGTAATCTTAGTAACTGTAATACAACAAAGACAGATGTAGCTCTTGCTTCCCTAAAACCTTGAGCAGTCCATCAGATAAAATTAGCAGAAAGCAAATAAAAAATGCATAAAGAACAGTGAGAGTATTTTCATATCAATTCATTTGGGGAAACAGTAAGAAATGTTAGGTTCAGTTGAAGAATATGAAGCACCCTGAAGGTGACATTCTCGCTGCAGTTTACATTACCTGTGGACAAGCATTCAGAGACTGAGTCAAGCTCTCTTCAGCCTCAGGGTCTAGTGCTTCCTGCTTTGCATGTTCTCCCCTCTGCCTGGTTTTCAGCCTTTCACCTCTCAGATCTAAGAGTATGTTAACAAACATGGATGCCAAGGGCCAAAGCGGGAGGAGACTCAGACCGACACACTTAGACTGTTGCTGACACTGCGTGGAAAACAGACAACTCGTCAACCCTCAGGCTCCAGTACTCTGGCCACCTGGTGCCAAGGGCTGATTCGCTGGAAAAGCCCCTGATGCTGGGAGGGACTGGGGGCAGGAGGAGAAGGGGACGGCAGAGGGTGAGATGGCCGGATGGCATCACCGACTCGACCGACATGAGTTTGGGTAAACTCAGGAAGATAGTGAAGGACAGGGAAGCCTGGTGTGCTACAGTCCATGGGTCATAAAAGAGTCGGACACGACTTAGCAACTGAACACCACCACCACCGATGAGAACCTACTGGATAGCCCAGGGAACTCTCCTCAGCGCTCTGTGGTGACCTCAATGGGAAGGAAATCCAAGAAGGATTCCTTATAGCTGATTCACTTTGCTGTACAGTAGAAACGAACACAAAATTATAAAGCAAATATGCTTCAATAAAAATGTGAAAATGATAATAATAATAACAAAAAGAGCATGTGTCTCTTTCTCTGGGAAGTGCTCCTTAACTTCCGCTAAATAATACCACATATTCTCAGTATGCATCCCTTTCCTTAACCTTATTTATTATAGTTCATGGCTCCCTTAATAACAAAGATACACTCATCTTCGTACCTAGGCACTTTCTGTCCCCATCAACTTTCCTTACTATTACTTGTCACAGATTACAGCTATATATTTACATCATTATTTCATGAGCACATGAAATAAGTTTCAGGCAATACGGGGAGGAGGGGTGTCTCTTTTCTTCTCTTCTAGTGCCTGGCACATTGTAGGTATGTAAAACAGATGTGACTACGTGAATAAATGAATAAACGAGCAGTGCAGTGTGTGTTCAGAGCCTGAGCTCTCAAGTTAAACATACTTGGGTACAACCCAAGTTCTTACTATTCAGTTATGTGACCTTTGGCATGCGTTTTTCCTCTCTAAGATTCAGTTTCCTCATGGGTAAAATGGAGACAATAATAGCTTCCTCACACGGCTGTCATGAGCTTGAGAAAATGCATACAGTGAATGTATTTAGCTTGAAACCTGGCACAGAATAAGCGCTTAGTAGATTACTGTTGTTGTTGCTGTTATTGTCGTAACTGCTTCTGGTTCTACCTCCAGCCGTGGAATGAAATCATGATGAACTTAATTCTCCAGTTTTCCCCTCTTGGTCAGTAGGGCAGGGAAGAAAGGACTCCTTGCTGAGCTTCTGGTCAGCTTAGTCTCGGTCACTTGTGGCTTCCTGTCACCTCAGCCGCCTGGCTCCCTCCCAGCGGCCTCGGCTAACTTCACCCACCCCTCCCTGTAATCGCTGGGCTGCATTTTTCTTTTCCTATAAGTCTTTCTAGACCCACTTCTTTAATTTACTTACTTTTATCTTCTGTGACAGCACCCAGTTCCTAGGACCTGGCATAGTGTCTCTGAAAGGAAATGAATTCACACTCGAAAATGGCTGCACTTTCCTGACTTCCAAACACTGTCCCCAGACCAACCGCCTACCCCCTGACTTTCAGGATGACTTCCTGCCCCACTTAGGAGAGTGTCTGGCAAGAAAATGGATGGCTACTGTCCCCCTGTCCCTTGGGACATTTTAGCTTTGGGGACAAACAAGTTTAGTCACCGATGAGGAAGGCCTCATGCAAAGAGAGCTTGCTTGCTCAGTCAGCCGGACCAGACCAGACCAGACAAGCCTGATTTGCCTCAAGGTCCTGGCTCTCGGACCCTCACTGTATTTATAAGTCTTAACAGTGTAACTGTGAATTCCATTCGGGTGATGCTGCTTCTGGCTGGCACAAGGCCATGGTTTCCCGTCGTTCACAAGCAATTTTGAGGCCTGCTGATATGGGCATGGAAACCACTGGGGTTCTTTTATGTAACCGTGTGCATGCATTCTCTTGTTAATGTTGTTTGGGATATCTTTTAAATGTATTAAATATTTTCTGAAAATATGGCTACTTCCAGTTGGAAAAAAAGAAAAAAAGTGTTTTCTCTTCTTTCACCTCCCAAGATATTGCTTTGCAGTACACCCTATAAAAATAAAGAGCTTTTTACTGAGTTCAGGATTTAAACAAAGACAAAGAAAAAGCAGTTTCTAAGCAGAAAAATGCAACAAAGACTTTACTTCTTACCAAATAACTTAAGAATGTCTGAAGAAAAACATCCCAAAACCTGGCCAGTGCCAGAATTTCTCAGATAAGTAAGAGAGGAGAAAAACACAAATCCAACCCCAAAGCACCGAGAAATCTATTAATGGCAAAAAGAAAGCAACATGCAGTCGAAAAAGCT